TATTTTTTATATAATAATTATATTATTAACATTAATATTTTATTTTTTATTAAAAAATTAATACTTTTTTTATGTTTACAGGTAAATTTGTCTGCGTTACAGATGAAAGGATAAAAGCCAATTAGCATCAACTCAATTATTGAGTTGAGAAATATCTGAATATTTGTAAAAGTATATAGTCCTTTTTATTATGCTTTAATTAATAATTTATATTAACTAATTAAAATTTTTTAAAGAATAAATATAAACTAAAATTTGCATATAAATTAATTTTTTTTTTAAATGAAAAAGTTTTAATTATATTTTATATAAATTATATTAGCTTTTATATTATTAATAAAAAAAAAGTTTAAAATAACTTAAATTGATATAATTTATTATAAATTTAAAGAAAATAATACTTTTACCTGCATAAATATCAATTATGTGCTATTAAAGGAATTAATAATATAATTTATATAATATATATATAGTTAAATTTCTATAAATTCTTTTATTATATAGATTATAATGTATTTGCAAAAAAAATTCTATGGTATAATTCTAAAATAAACATTTTATAATAAATAAAAATGATCTTTTATTTCATAATAAATATATATATCACATAAAAATTATTTACAATACTATATATTTTGTTTTATATAAATATCATAATCTGTATAATTAATAACTTTTTTAAAAGTTTATGTAAATTTATTAATAGATTCAAATGATATATTATATATAAATATTATATATATTTTTAATAGGAAAAACTATTTTATTATATATAAAAATATTTTAAATAAGAAGTATCTACTATTAAAAAAAGGTAACTTTTTAATTAAAATAACAGAAATATTTTCTTATAAATATAAATATTTTATTTTAGAATATCAATTAAACTCTTCTGCTTTCAATTTAAATAACTATTATTATAGATAAAAAGATATAATAAATAATATACCATTTTCAAAATATAATATAGTAATTTATAACTAATATATATTTTTTGTTTTTTTATATATAAGATATATATTATATAAGACTTTTATTTATTTATTAGAAAATGTATTGTAATTAAAAGTTAGAACTAATTTTATTTTTAAAAATTATTTTTAAGTTTAAACCAAAATCCAACCCAGATTTATAATCAAACCAAATAATCAAATTAAATTAAACTAGTTAAAATAATTTGAGTACATTAATATTATAATAAATGATGCAAATTTTATTATAATATAATTAATATGATTTTAAGACACTGCTCTTCTTTTATTTTTATTAACAAGTATTTTAATAATTTTAAATAGATTATTATTATTTTGAGCTGGTTTAGTAGTAAAATTTGTTACAAATATTGAAATAAAATCAATAGGAAAGTTTTTTTGATTTACTTTGATTAAGACTCTAGTATTTACTATTATCTAAATATTGAAATATTAAGAAAATTGTTATTACAGTTAGAATTCATTATAACAAATTCTTGATATAACGATCACTTAATGAATTCTTGTTTAAATGATTTTTTAAAATTTTTATTCTATATTAAAACATATAAAAATCGTTATATCAAATTTATAAATTTTAATAAAATGATTTTTTCAAAAATTTTTATATTATTAAGGGAGGATTGTTTTATCAAGTTCTGACTGTAATTAAATTAATTCTTTTTTAAATAAAAATATTTTGATATGAATTATTTACTTTTAATATATTATTATGAGGAAATTCTCATTAAATATAAATTTTTCTGTAAATCTTAATATATTATCAGGTATAAAGATATAAATCCATTTAAGTACTAATGGGTTTTATGGAAAAAAAGTGGTTATTTTAACATTTATACTTCCTGACAAAAAAAAACTTATTAGACCTACTAAAAAATAACCAGAATCCTTTTTTGATACTGATTACTTCTTTTATCATATAGTCAGAAGAATCTTTTTCATTAATTTTGCAGGAATGATAATTGATTTATATAGTTTGCATAAGAAAAGAAAATAATTCTTAAAGGTTTATATTTGTTTTTTTTTTTTGTTTTTTATCTAAATAATTCATGATTCTAATAATTTTATATAGTAAAAAATTTTTTTTATTATATAAGAAAAGAAGTCAAAAATCTTTTGATTACTTTTCTTTTTTATAAAAAAAAATTGGAGAAAAAGCTGGTTGAATGATGTACTGAATTGTTATAGTATTTTTGTAATCGTTTCTTCTGTATTCTCCAATTTGAAAAAGAAATTGGTGAGAATATGGCTGAGTGATATTTCAGATTTAATTATAGTGTTTTATGATACACTCGATTAGTTTTTAGTTTTTTTTTCTTTTTAAAAAAATTCTTATATATTGGCCTACTATTCGTAATACTATAAGCATACGCATAAGGCTTAAAGGCTATAAATAAGCTTAAATAAGTTATATATTATATATATTCTTTCTTGAACGCATATAAAAAATAAATTAACCAAATATCGAATTACTTGGTACAATATCGTCCTAGGCGAATTATGGTGATTACCTGAAGGCGTCACTCGCGGTTGGTACTAACTGATTAAAGAGATATTTTTGGAAATCATGTGATACTGATGATGATTGGATGTTCAATCGAATCACCAAACCTTTATAGATAATAAACCAACAGGTCAACCTCATAAATACATCTAAATAACGCTCAACACGTTCCTTCTACCTTTCGTTTCCTAAAAACTTACTCAGTAACTGTTATCAGTTACTATAAAATTATCCTATAACCGTTATAGCGGTTATTAACGGTAAGTTGTGAAACTGCCTTAACTTACCATAAACAAATATTATTTAAATATCTTTTTTTACTTGGGTTCCGACCTCAAACTTAAATTATTCACCAAGCTTCGCTTTCTAGTTTATTTTTGTACAGTACAATATACCTTTTTTTTTTGTAACTTAACGTCGTTATAATACGTCGAGTGAAAATGTCACAAGATAATTATGATCAGTCACGTCAAAACATACAAGGAATTGAACAAGATTCTACAGCCGATCTCCCCATAAGATCTGTAATAAATATAATGGCTTCTCCTCCAAGAAATCATTCTACTACTTATGACCGGTAACTAAAGTTTCTTTTTTGAATTAAATAGCAATTTTAACACATTATATTAAATATTAGTTCTATCTATTTCTAGGCACATACATCTAAGAACCCCTGATCCGATTAATGATTTCCGTCAATCGCATATCGATTACAATACAAAAAAACGAAAAATTTCAGTGATCGAGGAAGATGCACAGCAAGGTAATTAAATATCATTCTTATACTTGAACCTTATTTTATAATATGATATCTAATTTGATTATTAGAAGAGGACGGTCGTATCTATAGGGCTGTCCTAGGAAAGTCGATGTTTCCTCTTAAAAATACAACAGATGAAATTATTCGACGTATAAATAATAGTCCATCAAAAGTACAGAAAACAGTATTACCTTATAGCACACCGACTAAGCAACAATCGAACACTATTGATTCACCGTTCCGAAATTCTTATTCATCGAGCCCTCTTCCATTTGAAGCGCAAATGATTCTGACTAGTCCACGTAAACCATTGAGATACATTAGTAAACATCCATATAAAGTGCTTGATGCTCCAGACCTACAGGTATTCATCTATTTAATTAAGGAATAATTATATAAAATAACCCATTATTTAACATTTAAACAAATAACCATGCAGGATGATTTTTATTTGAACTTGGTTGATTGGTCCTCAAGTAACGTTTTAGCAGTAGGTCTAGGGACCTGTGTCTATCTTTGGAGTGCTGCCACGTCAAGTGTAATTAATTTATTGATTGAAGTAGCGTAACATAAAAAGAGGCGAAACTCACTTTTAGTTTGTTAAAATAGGTCGTTAAACTATGTGATTTATCAAGTCAAGGTAGTCATAGAAACAGTGTTGATAACGTCACTTCAGTCAGTTGGATGCCTACGGTAGATTTTAAACATTACCTTTTATATATAATATTAATAATGAATCTTATATCTAATGGGGGGTTTTTTTTACAGGGTTCACACATAGCTATTGGTACAACTTTAGGTCCTGTGGAAATTTGGGATGTACAAAAAAGAAAAAGAGTTAGAAAAATGAGAGGCCATTCCCAACGAGTTGGTTCGTATGTCTTGATTTCCTACTTTAATCCAGTCTTTAGATAACAAATTCTTTTACAATGATTAATAATTTAATTTGCGCTTTAAAGGTGCCTTGGCTTGGAATCAATACACAGTTAGCTCAGGAAGCCGTGACAGGCTGATCTTCCATAGGGATGTAAGAATCCCAAGAGATTTTACAAAAAAATTGATAGGACATCGACAAGAGGTGCGAACAGTTTCTTTATAGATGTTTATATTGCGATGAGTTTATTAATAAATTATTTAATTAGGTTTGTGGCCTCAAATGGAATCCGGAAGGAACACAACTTGCCAGCGGAGGGAACGATAATAAGCTTTTAATTTGGGACATTGCGAATGATGTCCCCCTTCATAAATTTCTTCATCATACAGCGGCTGTCAAAGCAATTGCTTGGAGTCCACATTCGCATGGTCTTTTGGCAAGTGGTGGTGGTTCCCAAGATAAACACATTAGATTTTGGAGTACTTCAACTGGTGAAGCGTTAGAATATTATGATACTGAGTCCCAGGTAAGTTTTATATTTTATCTTAATCTTAATACATTTAATTAATTGTTTGTATTGTATTATTTAGGTTTGTAACCTTGCATGGTCTAGGCACTCAAATGAACTAGTTTCAACCCATGGTTATTCTCAAAATCAAGTAATTCTCTGGCAGTACCCTTCCATGGAACAATTAGCAGTTTTGAGAGGTCATACATATCGTGTCCTATTTCTTTCCATCTCACCTGATGGAGAAAATATTGTTACTGGTGCTGGTGATGAAACATTGCGTTTTTGGAATATTTTTAATAACGGCGAAAAAGAAAAGAAACGGGAATCAGCGTTTGATATTCGCACACAAATACGTTAATAAAATATGGTAAGTAAGGAATGATTATTGTATAATATCGCTTATAAATTGTCTTATCATCGTTTTCTTATAGTGGTTATTTTTATTTCAGGTGCAAATGACATGGTTATAATAATATTACTAATTACCTTGTTGGGCTTATGTAAGATATAAATATTTTGTAGAGTAATCTTATTATGAACAATCATACAGTACTTAGGAATAACCTTAGCATGAGCCCTTATATATTAAATAAAGGATTAAAGTATTATTTCTTTGTTACCAATTTTTTGATTTTTTTGATTAAAGTTGATTTTTTTTTATTCATATTCTGATACTTATTTTTATCTAAATTTTTATCTTACCTTTTTTTTTAAAAAAAAAAAAAAAAAATTGGAAAATATCAATTGAAGAAATTATTTTATTTTTTGTAATGAAATTTTTTCTTAATATAAATATTATTTTAAGTTATAGTTTATTTATAAATAGAGGTTTTAACTTTTAAATATATTATATTACAAAAAATTTAATTTTAAATATTTTAAATTATATATAATAAAAAAAATTAAAAAACTTATTATAAAATAAATTATAACATTTCAAAAATTTTTATAAATACCATTTATGCAATTGATTTTTTCATCTTATTATTATAATATATTCTATTATGAATAAACAGTTAAGCTGTAAAAACAGAATTATGATAAGTTTTAAATTAATTATTTAAATATTTACTTAAGTATAATCTAATTTAAGGTCACTTTCATTCCTAATTGTATTGATAAATATCTAACACATTCAAATAATAATTTCTTTTACAAATTTTAATAGATTTAACTATAATATTCACTCTTTTAAGTAGAGAAAAAAGAAAATCTTGATTATTTACTATTAACAATAGATCTCACAGTCTTTTTGTTATTGAAAAGCAGAAGGTCATAATTGTCTCAATTTTAGTAGAAATTAAATTGTTAAATTTAATAGGATTTTATTATTAGATTCAAAAAATAAAAATTGTATATCATTTAATAAAATCACAAAATTAGATTTATAGCTGATTTTATTATTCATTAACCATCCTAGTATGTTTTTATTTGAGATTTTATGATATGAGACATGTGATACAACAATTTTTTATATTGATTATTACTATGTATAACTGATAAAAGTATTATGTATAAATATATAAATAAGTAAATATGTGATACATACAATTAACAAAAAGTATTTTTCCATCAAATATAGAATCTAAAGTGAAATTAATTTATTATTTAATCTCATGTTCTATATGTTTAATATATATTAAATATGCAAAGATCTATAAGTTAACTTATACATATAAATTTAAAGAGATTTACTAGGAAAAGGATAATAAATTTTGTATAAATTTTCATTATAAATTACTAATAAAATTAAATATAATATTTATACTTTAATTTTTTAAAAATATTTTTTTACAAATGAATATACTAGAAAATCAAAATAATGTTAATATTTGTCACAAATATACAAGCAAATATAATTGATTTAAATATTTGTATTAAAGTTTAAATAAGTTTTTTAATTATTATTTTATTATATTTATAAGTATTAATTATATTCTATATATTAAAAGCTAAAAATAAAGATATATACACTTTGAAGCTTTTGAATTTTTTAGATGATTAATCGCTAAAATAAGCATCAAATCATCCTTAAATAATTTATCATTGTATAATATAAAATTTGATGAATTACATATACCTTGAGTTCATTTGTAACTTTTAAAATAAGTAAATATAGTAATATTATTATATTATAATTCAAAAATAATCTAATTATAAATCTAATTTACTTTTATTATATATTATATTAGTATGCCTTAACCAATTTTAATTATCATAAAAAAATTAGATAGAGCTATTGTAATTCTATTTATTCTTAAAAATATTTTTGATTTTGGTCATATTAAAAAATAGATCCTATCATAAAATTTATCAAAATCTTAGAAAAAGATAAAAATTGAATAAATTTATTACTAAATATTTTTGATAGCAAAATTAGATTATTATAGTCTTAGATCTGATGGTATAATTGTTATATCTAAAATTATAGTAAAAGAAAATAAAAAATTCAATTATGTGTTTATTAAGAAAACAATTGAAAATTAAAATGAAAAATAATAATCTATAAAAGTCTTATTAAAAATTTAGGTTTTTAAAAATTAGTTTTCAAAAAAGTTTTATAAGAATTTTTATACTTTTGTAATTTAAATCATTTAATTTATAATAAAATATAACAATAAATTATTTATTTATTATTATTATTATATACTCTTTAGGTTAAAATAGATCCTAAGATTAGAGCAGTGACATATATTACCTAATATTTTTGAGGGTGTGGGGTAACTGCAGGGTATTAGAAAATCTTAGGTTATACATACATTTAGGTATCACGTGATATTAGTGGCTTAGATTTTATAGATCATGTAATATCAGTGGCTTAGATTTATTAGCATTACTAGCATATACATAAATATCACATTATAATTGTTATAAAAAAATTAATAAAATCATTTATTATCTGATAAATATTCCCTTAAATGTGTTTCGTCACAAAAAGGTCATTTTCGCTGTAAAGGAAGAAGAGAGAAATCATCAAGAGTCCTTGAATTTTGTCTAGATTTTCCTTTGAGCTGCCCATGGCTAGCAGGATGCTTTGTTCGTTTATAGTTCGTCAAGTAAGTGAAAGTTAGGAAGTATTTATCACACTCAGAACAGCAAAGACGTGAATAGGTTGTTTGGTTAATGGACGGACAATATGCATCATACCCAAAAATTTTCAAAAGATCATAGTATTCAAGAAGGTGTATAGAGTTTGTGAAATGTCCATCCCTGGCTTTTGTGATTGAAGGTAAAAAACCATTGTTTAACTGAAGAAAATCCATAGCCTCTTATGCGTGAGTTGGTCCACAACAGCTTGTATCTGTACATCTTTTAATATCAAGAGAATATTGACACAGGTTACAATGATCTTTAATTCATAACCATGACACAAAACATTCTGGTGAGTCATTTCCATTTTCTTGTTGTTTCTTTTTTGTTGTTTTCGTATTTCCGCCTTTTCTTTTTCTTTTTCTGTACCTCTAAACTCCAGATTTTCAAACGGATTGGTAAGTTCTTCGACATATTGTGCATTTACGCTTCTTCCAAAAATCAAATTGTGATGCCAAATATCACAAAGCACCTCTCTGGCATATCAAAAGTTTTGAAGAGCCAATTTCAGATTAATCACTTTATCTTGTGTATCTAGATGTGTTTTAAAGTAATCAATTAGTAGAGTAATATCTGCCAACTTTTCAGATAGTGTTGCCATGCCCCTTTCAATAGGATTATACTTAAATTGTCCCAGTGCGTGTGTCCGCACAGTGAGGTAATCTAAATCAAATTTTCAAAAAAGCTGAATATATTTTTTAATATTCTTTAAATGTCTTAGATTCTCATCCGGTCTCCCATCCACTAATAATATCCAGATAGGTTGAATTTCTCTGTCAGCCTTCAACGCATCATCATATTGAGGATCTAGAATGAGGCTTTTGAGGTCTTGTATATGCGTGAGTGAAGAAGTTCCAAGGGACCATTGATGACGTACAAAAATGGCAAATTGTCTTGTTCTCAAATTATCATTTAATTCATTCAGTTTGATCATAAGGTAAACTGATGGAATTAACTTTTGCTTATATCCTACAGGAAAATCATGATCAGCTATACGAATAGGCTCGTGAACTGACTGTAATGTACAGAATGTCTGACCTATAGCTGGTATCCCAAGATTTATCTTTACCTTATCATCTTGAGAAATGACAACAGATTTATCGGCAAAGATGTGGCAAATTGCCTTACACATTTAACAGACGCAAGACAGTAGTGACCATCAGAATGGTCCTGTGTTTCAGTACGTAAAACTTTAGCCACTGCGATCCAAGCCAGATGATGATGCGTTTTTGCAGCAATGGAATTGGATTGATGAGGCAACAGGTAATTATTCAATGTTGTTCGCGTCATGTATACATTGTAGTTCTCTTCAAGATTCTTGCGTAAATTTTCAATAATTCGCATCTTAACAACTTCTTTCCTTCGTTTTTCATCAGCTGCTCCAAATTTGATTAAATCATGAATATGATTATGTAAATTCAAATGCTTGAAAAGAAGTGGAGGACGGCCAGGTTTATCATACTGTACCACTTCCTGATTTTTAATAAGTGCTTTCTTTCTTTTTTCTTTGCATCTTTGAGTATAACTTGCGTTCCTTTTTAACTTTATGATTTTCTCCTT